AACCCAATTAATTAATTATCCAACATTTGTCAATTAATTAATTGATAAATCTCATTCTTCTGGTTCTCTTTTGTGTGTGATCTATTATGTTTCCAATTACGATACCTAACGATGTGAATTATTATTTTGATCTAATCAAAATTGATAAATTAAAATACCCCTTTTAATTTATCATCAATTCACATCAATCGTCCCAAATTGACATCAGCAATGTGTTATGGCAATACATGTGACGAGAAATACCACGTGGTGTGACAAAACCAAACTTGTTCGTTTACCGTGACACTATAATCCTTTCGTCAATATGATTCGATCAATTATGAGATATGGATATGTGTCAATCTCAATTATCGATCGTATATTTTATCCCACTGTTAAGTCAATGTAAGTCGAAAACTTCTTTTAAACTTATGAGTTCACTTTGACCAACGATTTCATTATCAACTTAATTGGATAAAATGTAGATCATAATATCTTACTATCTAAGAGTGACGAATCTTCTATTGATCATCCATGATTTTTGACATACTCGAACGATGCTGTATTAGCGACCCTTGACAGAACAACATCACCAAAGTATGACTGTCATCATATAATGCACTATGATGACCTCAAGTCAAATGACCAATTCCACTACCGACGTTAGAAATTAACCACCGACACTCAGATAGTTATCTACGTGGAATCTTTCAGCGGGTCTCCAATATTTTGTTCTATAACAAAACATCCACGCGTTCATTCAAATGTCACCGCACTTTAGCTTGTGAGACCAGTTACTTACTTCACAAGTAAGAAATGCCACACTGATTGTCTATTCGTAATAACGGTATCCGTATATCGTTATTACATACGATCACAGACAATTTAAGATTCACTCATATGTAATTTGTATCTCACAATCACAACTTCTTGTAATTAACAAATTACTAAGATTTGAATCTACGGATTTTATTATTTAATTTATTAGAATATTATTTAATTAAATAATAGATATTGCCATAAATACACATTGATTATATATATTAAAAATGTTTATGTCCAAAATTGATTGGATTTAGGGCATAATACTTACTATTATTTAATTAAATAATAAATATTGTCATAAATACTCATCGATTATATATATTAAAAGTGTTTATATCCAAAATTGATTGGACTTAGGACATAATACATACAATATCGATACACGTAACACTTGTTACAATACATGCTATAATACATAAACTAGAATAAGCAATGACTTGAATCTATTCATATAAGGAAAAATGTATCACGTAGGTAATAAATTGCAATGCATGCTTTGTCAAGTGTAAAGAAATAATGTATCGTTCATATGAACTTGGCCACACGTTCAAGGCCACACGTTCAAACATTTAACATTCTACACAATGTAAATTTATTAGGTTGATTCAGATTCTAGCTTGTGTAATGTAATCTGTTGAATTTGAGGCTCCAATCTTGTGATTTCCGGGCTCAGCTAACCAATCAATCAAATACCACAACCAACCAATCGACAATCACAAACCGGCACCTCCCAAACACACACTTGGTTGCTCCAATTTGTACAGCCCACTAAGGACTAAGGTGAGAAGATTACAGCCTAGAAGAAGTAGCCACAAAGGCTAAGTAGAGAAGTTGATCTCCCAAGTAAAGCACTAAGCCAAGGCACAAAGCAAAGAAGAGGAAGAATCGGTTTTCTCAAGAATACACGGCTGCTCAACAATCTTTCACACAA